GTACATTGACCAGTTTTATGTTGTTTACAAATTGTTTTAAGCATTTATAATACGTAGAACTAGCTAAACCTCTGAATATTTGAAATGACAAGTTAAATATGACGCACGATATGATGAATTAATCATATATTGGGAAAGAAATAGGCTGTAAGAAATGCTAGGTTAGAATGACTCGTCGTCATTCAACTTGAAAGTAGTTTTTCTGCCTTATGCTGTAACAAATAACCAGCGTTTCTTACAATTTAAATAAGTAAATCTTATCTTCTATAGAATTACGATATTAGCAGTGTTTTATTAAAATGTCAGTATATTATAATAGAGGAAGTATTTTCATCCATCGATTTTTATAAAATTACCCAATTGCACTTTTGTGTATGCATGTTTCTTTTTATTAAGCAAAGGAATTGTAAAGGAAATTTTTCCTGAAATAAATTTGGTTTCCTCCTCAACTTCAACTATGTATAATGCATACAGATTTTTTTCCAAAAAATCAAAAAGAACTTTAATATAATAATTATAATTACATAAATAACTAATAATAATTTATTATCATATAATTGTTATAACTAATAATTAAGAATTTTTCAGTGTATGTCAATGTACATATAATTTAGTTCAGAGATTAAAAAAAGGTATATAATTATTATATTATTATTTATTATGAAATGAAATTATTATATTAGAATTCATTGTAATTAAAATTATACAATAAAATACATATTTTAAATGCTTATATAACACTTGTTTAACAATATTTATTATATATGTAAATAAACATATAAATGCACAAAATTAAACAGTTAATTACAAATGATAATCAGTATATTATCTTCATTTATTTTTTCATTACTTTACTAGTTTTTCTGATTTTTGAATTAATCTGTGCTCTTTGAATGTAGTGAAAATAAACAGGGAAATATAAGATTGGAGAAAATTCCTACTAAATGATTCGTGTTTTATCCACCCTATTTCGTCAATAAATTGGTGCAAGTAATGCATGCATGTTTGTGCTTATGGTCGCCATAGTTATACTTTATTGCACATTTTTTGTGTCCTTTTAATCTGATAAAATTAGTGAAGCAGCAGCCTTGTGTTTGGCATAGATTTTAATCAAGACTATCAATTTCTGGGAGATTTCTTTATTCCTGATGAAGAGGGACCTGTACCTGTTTGCCTTCAAAATCAATAGTCTTGACTAAAATCTGTGCTAAACACAAGGCTGTTGCTTTACTAAGTTTATGTTTTGCTTTGGTGTGTTTCTGCTCTGTCTTGATCTGAAAGGAATTTTGTTTTCGGAAATAGCATTATGTGTATATTGTAATTATTAGACAAATTAGAAAGGAAATAATTCTTGAAATTATATTTTGCTATTTCGTGTTGATTATTAATGATGTTACGTATAAAATGATATTTGGTAAGTAAAAGCATTAATTTTATTGAACATTTTTTATGTACTTTGAAATAACAGAGATCTGAAATATAAAAGTTTATGTCTGAAATAATTTCATAATATTAATTTATAAATTTCTGGTAAATGCAGTTTTATAATTTATTCTATATCTTTTCATGTCAGTTTTAGTGTTGATGATTCTTGACTTGACTAAGAATCAGTTTTTCTGATTTTTGTTTTTCATTGCAGTTTTACTTTCTTTATTAACTAAGAGACTTAAAGATCTCTGAACTAGATCAAGACCTTAATGTATAGGACTAGAAATCTCTAAAAGATTTGACTTTTATGATACATGATGCAGAAATACATACTCTTATAAAAAATTCCAAACTTATTCTGCTGAAAGTTGCAAACCAATCTGTGTCATCTATCTCCAGATAGTTGAGATCTGCATTACATTCAGTTCTAAGCTCTCAGCATTTATATCATTTTTAAATGTCTTCTTAAAATGTTAATTTTTTAACTAAAGGGCAACTTAACATATGGGCATTGCTTGGGAGCAGTGTGCATTGGGGATTAGATTATGGCAAATTTATTGGTATTCTAGAGAGAAGTGGTATAGGCCAATGATCTCAGAACAATACAAAACTTCTCTGTGCATCTATAAAGATGTGCATATTTCCTTGTTATGCAGAAAAATCACTGTTAAATTAAATATGTCGAGGCTTGTTGTATACCAAAATATCTTGAAATGTGAAATTCCGTGGAATAAAAACTAATTTATCGTTTAGAAGAAATAACTGTTTACAATCAAAAATGAAATAACTGTTTACAATCAAAAAAACAATCATCTGCATAAATTAACGAACTGCACCCAGGCAGAAGCAGTGTAAACTCAAAGGTGATCTTGGGCTAATCTTTGGAATATGGTAACAGGTAGTTTGGCGACATTTTGGTAAGGCGATAAAGGTTACCAGCTAGGACTTTAGCAGTGCACATGAATAAAGTCAAAAGTGTGCGCAATGCCATTTTTGTGCAATTCTGGGATGTTTTTTCAAGTGAAAATAGGTCGACGTGTACATGGATGATACCGTGTATGTGCAATTCTTAAAAATGCGGCAAGCAGTGTGCGATTATGCACTTTGTCCCAATTTTGCATCTAATCTTTGTCATGATTAAGTATTTTTGTTACATAAAAGTTCTACCATAAAGCGTGATTCGGCTAGCAGATTGTTGGAAAAAAATGTTGAGTAAAAAAAAAAAACATGCCTTTACTTCGTGAAAACAAAAGGGCGTCCAAACAAAAACTAGCAGGTTGCTGTAGCAGGGTTGGTCGCCAAAAAATCGCCAAGTTACCATAAACCAAAGATTAACCTGATCTTGTTTGTTGACCACTGGAGACACTGTTGAAACTTACGAGAATTTGATAAATAATGAGTGCAAGTTATTTCATTGGTATGTTAAACATGGACGAGGCGATGATTCTAAGACTCTTGAGCCATTGGAGACTAGTAATATTTTTTATGATAATGCTGCAATCTGTATGTTCAGTGAAGTACAGCAGCCTTTTATTAGAAATAACTTGGTTGTTGTTTCTATCCTGCTCCACATTCTCTTGACTGTATTTCTCATTTTCCTAGGTAGAAAATGTAAGAGCAAATATTTATGACAGGTGAAATGATAAAGGAAAATATTGTTTAATGTTAGGAATGTAAAATTGATGTTTAATGTTATGTTAGGAAATGTGTATTTTTGGTTATTTATTCCTTTCTGTTTGTATATTTTTGGTTATTTGTTTGTCTTTGTGTGTTAAGACAGTGGCGAATTTTTTCTGGTGATAGTTAAAACATGATAGTTTTATGATAGTTAACAAATAATTATGATGAAACATGATAGTTTTAACTTTGTTTTAGCTTCCTGATTTTGTTTAAGTGAAAACAAATTGATGTACATGGACAAAGTCAGTGCGCAATGCCTAATTTGTGCAAGCCTCTGATTTTTTTAAAGTGAAAATAGGTCGAAGTGTATGGGGGCACCGAGTTTTTGTAAGTCTTTGACTTATTGTTTTGGTTTTGTGTAGTGGGTGGAAGTATCGGCACCATCTTGAAATTGGTGCTGATCCTTCCTGGCTCTGATCATGGCATCAAAAAAGAAATCATTTGCTAAGGGGTGCCACAGAGTAAATTTTAACCCTTAATGTACAAGTTCAATCACTGGGTGCTGCATGAGCTGACTCAAGCAGATAAGGATAAACATGTTCGGGCCTGTCATGGTCTGCTCAAATATCAACACAAGGACAAAATTCTGGACCAGGATGTCACTTGTGATGAAAAGTGGATTTACTTCAACAACTCAGGCTAAAAAGGATGTTAGTTTACGCCTGGTGAGCCCTTCGGCAGTGTTGTGAAGTGCAGCTTGACTAACAAGGTCATACTTCGTATCTGGTGGGATTACTGTAGTATTATCCCCAAAGAATATCTGTTAAAAGGTAAAATCCTAAACAGTAAGGTTATACAGTGAGGTACTAGTGCTTGTTGATGCTACTATCAAGGAAAAGCACCAAACTGAGTTCTGGCGCAAAAAGGTAATGTTCCGTCATGGTAATACAAAAACCACATGGGAATTTTCATGTAAATAAAAAAAAAACCAAGGAATTTTCAACATTTTTTTAATGTATTTTTTATACAGTCAAAAGTCGTTAATTCGAACACCCATAATCCGGACCTGAAAGCTACAAACTTTCTGCGCATGCGCGTAAGACCTTTACGGCTGCGAATATGCGTGTGCACGTGTGAAAAATACATTTACGAGTGTGCGTTTAATGTATAACGGACGGTATAAGCTAAGCTAAAATTATCCAATTATCTATTTCAGTTACTGTTGCAGATTGCGTTGTTCTTTAATCTTCGAATTGGATCCGGCTTATTATTTTTTGCAGACTGTTAGAGCAATTTTATAAAAGTAAGCTTGAACTTTCAATTATGTCAACTAGAATTTCTGATATATATTTACTAATACGTAAAGGATCTACAAAGTGAAAGTATGTTTCGAAGTCCATTAAACAAAAAGTGGAATTGCTGCAAAAAATGGATAAAGGCTTATCCTTTGTTTATCTAAACTTTGTTTATCTTTAACGCCGCGGCGCCGCGCAATGAATTGGAAGTTGATCTGTCAACACTATCCTTATCTTCAGGGCAGATGTTTTTATTTTATTTGGCTTATAATTCCTTATTAAATCTAGTATTTCATCTCGATGTACTCCATCTTTGATATGATTTAAATCAAATTCCTCGTCATTATAATTCGCTTCCGATAGCGAAGAAAGTGACAGAGGTTATTGAAGACGAAAAAATTTCAATTGACGAATTAGTCGGTATTCTCGACACAGCAATTATAGGACTTGAACAGCGGAACTTTGTAACTGAACAAGAAATTATGTCTGTTTAAAGAATTAAAGAGAATGTATTATCACATAAAAAATGAAGCAACTTAAACAACTTACATTGAAAGAAATGTTTAATAAAGTAAACAAATAAATATTAAGCTTTTTTTTTTTTTTTTTTTTTGTAAATTTTGATACCCTTTAGATCGTAATTGTTCTTTATTTCAC